TGCATCATGGCCCCGTCCTTGGCCAACCCAAGAGGAAAATTGCCACTGAGGACAGTAAGACATGCCAGCTCAGAAGCAGCCACAACTTGGGCTGACATGAAGTTTGATAAAAGAACAGTAGCGAGATACTTGGAAACTCACTGTGAGTAACAACTTCAAGTTTTAAACTGCAAGAACACACAGTGAACTGTCCCTAGCTGGCCGCGTCACTGTCTTGCGTACAGCATCTCATGTTCACCAGGGATTGTTACACGTTCACCTCTAAAACCTTTTCACTTTATTTAGTTCATGGCACTGTCTCTCGCTCCGGTCGAGTGCCTATCAGATGAAAGCAGCGCTGGTTCAGGGCGTGACAGCGAGGCAGAGGCAGACCATTGTGCGCCACTGCAAGAGCCTTCCAAGAAGGCAAGTACTGCATTGACCACCCCCTTGCACAAGCTCACGCCGATCGAGTTGAGAAGCAAACTATTGGCAGTTGTTGGATCATTGTGCCACTGCTCTCGTATGCGGAAGCATGATCGCCAGCAAAAGAATTGCTTCCTGCCTTTCAGAACATCATTTGAGCCACTGCTCCAATTGCTGGTACGGTTGAACAAGCTTCACAAGCAGGACATGGACAATGAAGTTTCTTTCATGCATTAAAGTAAAAGGCGAGCAACGTTTCTTCAGGTACGGTAGGTCCCGCTAGTCTTAGTGATGGCTGTTGATTTGTAGCGCGTGAGGTTCTGCGGGTTCTCCAGTGCACGCCCGCCGAGCAAGTTGGTGGGAGAAAGCAACACGTTCTCCTTGGACAGCCGGTTTGTCAACGTGCTTTTCGCCGGTTGCTTTGCATGGGGGCCCGGAGATACACACGGCTGAGGGCTGCCGCTTTGGCTGGGCAGTCCAGTGCACCGCTAGATGCACGTTGCTTTGGCAAGCGGAAGAGCTTTGAAAATAGACCTGAGGCGCTGAGAAAACGAAGTCTGATAGTTGAATATTTGGAAGAGATCAGGAACTCAATTGCAGAGCCAACTCCGGAGGCCAACCGGGATGTCAAGACAGTGCGCCCGTCCAATCTCCAAAAGAACTGTGACCGGAAGCTCCAGAAGCGCACTGTCAAGATGTCGTTCCGGCGGCACAGGGGCAAGCGCCCGCGAGCTGCAGCTTCCATTCATTGGGGGAGAGCCAGTTCTGAAGACATGCGGCTGCTACCACCTGGCTTTTTCTCTGAATACTACCGACTGTTCATGACCAGGCACCCAACTGAAAAGATCAGCTTGAAGTTGTTCCTGGCAGCAGCTTTGATGTGCTCCATTTGCGATGTGGATTTGGTGAGTTTATCGCCCCTTGGATTGTGGTTGCTGCATTGCATTGAGTTGCGTTTCAACAGCCTAGGTATGGGCTGAGTCCTTTGGCGATCGGCTGGCCATTCGTCAGGCCACTCAACATGCGCATTGTGGTATTTGCGCAAAGCACAAATGGATCCTCAAGCGGCTGTCAAATGACCGTTTGGCCCACCGCTTTCAGATGGCTGAGTACGCACGGCATTTAAGGAAGCAATACGAAGATCGCATGATCTATTGGCGGAGTAGGGCTGATTCAAAGCTCCCCCTCCACCCGTCAGGCGAGAAAAGTCTGACGATCATTTGCGACGGAATGGACCACAGCAAGTTCAAGTGGCCCCGTGTTGGTTCAATCTTTGGATCCAAGGACTTTGCCAGCTTGAATCGGCCAGTGATGGACTGCTATGCAGCCATCCTTCACGGACATGGCGTGGTGCTAGCCACAAGCCTGCCTTTTCTCACCCGCAAGGACTCGTCGTTTTGCGCAGAAGTTTTGAACCATGTGCTCCACCTTTTCTCGCAATGGTACGACCTTCGTGAGTATTGCGTCATAATACAGTCCGACAACACCAGTCGGGAGATAAAGAACAATTGCTTGAAAAGGTGGGGAGGCCTCATGGTTGGCTTGGGTAGGTGCCGGAGAATGGAATTTCGGTATTTGATTTCAGGTCACAGTCACGAGGACTGCGACGCGTGGTTCGCCAATATTGCAAACTGATTGGAAGTTCAGAAGCACCTTGAAACTCCAAAGGATTTCGAGAACGTGCTTCAAGCGTTCCTCAATGAGGGACGGACACGACCGGATGAGCAAGGCTTCCGGCAAGTCCGCATGGTCACACACGTCAGGAACTGGATTCTCGGTGGGGCAGTCTGTTCGATTGTGGCTGTTATTACTGTAATAATCTGAAAACCGCTCACCAGATCATGATTTCATATCGTTCAATGAGAATTGGAGTTGATTTGAAATCGACCCGTTGAACAAGTATATATAACATCGCTACAAGAAGTCCCACAAGTTCATCGGTGGTTGATGTTTGTGCTTTCCCTCAAACTCACGAAGCTGGCAGCTGTGGATTGTTGTTTTCCAACACTTGATCACACACATTCAATTTTGGAATGTTAGTTTTGAACAATCACTGGTCTTGCCAAGTGACAACTTCATTTCCCAGCTGTGAACTTAGGAAGGACTACCTCCATGCCAACACCTATGGGAACCAACTCCGGGGCATTGGAGGACCCTCAGCACCTCATGTGTTCATGCTAGATCGCCTGGATTCGTTGAGAGGCCGCATGGATGCTGGAACACAGTGGGTTCATCATGTTGAATATAGATAGTAAGATAACTAGTTAAATATAACTTCAAATAAGATAGCAGTTAGATGCTAACTTCAAGTGAAATCTAAGGATCTGGAGGGTAGTCGTGTGTTAGTTCAAATTATCAGCTGGGCAAGCGCCGTGTCATGTTTACCTGACAGGTACCCTTGATCGCTCGCACGTGGTGTCGCGTTTTTGGCAGAAGCTCAACATGCCGGTGCACGGTTCTGATGTGGTCTTAAGGACATGGCCACAATGTTTTGAAGCTGCCTTGATCAATGCGCTACACTACAAACATCAAAAACAACTTACTATGGGATGTTCAGAGTGATGATCGTCCGTTCGTTCGATGGAAATGCATGTTGCCTGTTCCTGGTCCCTGGTCCAGGACCAAGCAATTCATGTCTGATAGTTCGTTCGTTGGCCAGCCGCTGCTCTACCTTCCGTACGCTGTTTGCTCGGAGATAGCCACGTCTGGCAGTGTTCCACAAGGCACGGTATGGGGGCCGCGCGTGAGAGTTGTTGAACTAATGCATCGATTGGGAGGAAGTATTAAATTACTGTCACTGTGTGTTAGCTTTCACAGACTTGATCTTTTTGCCAGTCATTATGGAGACCCGTGAGCATGTTGCCAAAGATGCGGAGGGCTGGATCAAACATGCGGACATCATGAGACTTTTGGCTTAAACATACTAAGGAGGGAGAACAGTATAAGGTGTTGCCAATTTATCAAGCTCTTTTTGACGCCACAATGGTTCTTCCAGGCCATTTGTTGCAAGTTCACACCACCTCCAAGTTCTTGGCTTTTTGCAACAGACTTGATACCGAGTGTGGCTACCCTGTATTCTCCGCCAAGGAAATGAACCTTACCTTTTGCATGCTGCTGCTGATGCTCTTACTGCTTTAGCGCGTGGACAATGGAAGCCAGAACCATTGTTGGAGGTCGACAGGCCCGGGTGTTGAGGGCCAGCAATGAAGGGAACGGTGGGTGAACTTAAAGGGCATTATCTGTATTGTTCTCATTCTCATGACTGGATGATTTGTTCTGTACAGGACTGCAATGGGAATACAATTTTTCGTATTCAATGTGAGAGACTTGCTGAAGGTGCTTGCCCGCGCCTGGGCCAGCTGTCGGTCCTGGAGTCCCAGGGCACATGGTAAGACCTGGTGTGAACCTGCAGCCAGAACCTTCGCTGCGCTATTCTTCTCAAAGTCATGTTTGCTGGAAGTCATTGTTAATTCTATTTGCAGTAGTAGTTGTAGTAGGTTGTTGAATCCATGTTTACCATGGCGCCTGCCAGGATCCCGGTGTTGTCGGAATCAGCTATGAGCGGATGCAGAAAAAGTGCTTACACAAGTACCGGACGACGCACCGCAAGGTGCACATTGACCGTGCTGCTGCGAAGCTGTGGGCACAGGGAGTCAGATGGGAAACAGCTCACAAAATTGTGAGCGATGCGTTCGATGCTTGTGTGCAGGAAGCTGCGTGAGATATCCACCCGTTTGATTGCACCAACGCCCCACGAACTTGCAGAAGGAAACAAAGAGTTTAAACGCAATTTTGGAGGACGTGACGCGCAAATCCAACACAAACCAGTTCCCCGAAAACCCACATGATTTCATGTTGGATGCCATTGGGATTCAACACTGAACAGTAGTCAAAAATGTTGGCCGAAGTCAACAGCTTATCTATAAGGGCGGTGCATTCGATTTCATTAGTTTGAGTCCTGCAGTCGTGTGAGATGCCAATGGCATCCAGCACGAACAGCGGTGAGCTTTGGCTGCCTGAGATTGTGAGGAATAACTCCTTGAAGGCGCACAAATTTGTGAAACATCTGAAAAAAAAGGGTGCGGCATGGACATTTAGGGGGGCCGTCCCCTGGTAAAAATAGAAGTCAATAACTTTTCAGGAATTCTCTAAGTACAAGGCTATTTTCAGTTTGTGTTGGATGACGGTGGGATCCGACACAAACCATGCGGGTGGGATCCGACACAACCCATGCGGGTGGGATCCGACACAAACCATGCGGATGAGATCCGACACAACCCATGCGGATGAGATCCGACACAAACCATGCGGATGAGATCCGACACAAACCATGCGGGTGGGATCCGACACAAAACCATACAGAGTAAATCTGATCCCACACACTTTAACAGTTTAACAATACATTTTTTCCAGCACACAACCTTTGCGCCCGACGGATGAGATCTGATGTAACTAATGTGCAGTCCAATGGTTTTCAAAAAGTGTAAAGCTAATGGTATTTTGTGGGTCAGTTTTTGCGAATCGTAAAAAACCAATAAAACATATAATGTTTTGAAGCCGTCAAGCCTCCAGAATTTCACCCCATGTTTGGTGTGTGCGTGTCACGTTTAACGACGGAGTGATTTGAGTTGTCGCGCGCATGCTTCTGCCAGGTCGACCAGCTTCGTTGACACTGCGTCGATGACTTCCACCGACCCGCTGCAAAAAGAACGTTTCTGGGTAAGCCATCATGGTCAACAATGTCACAATATAACCGCGCTAGCCTTTAGACGTGTTGGGTAATTTTTGAACTTGCTTCATTGTTATCATTGTTTGCGTTTGTGTTAGTAGGCGGCTCAATCACACCGAGACTGCGAGTCTATCTCAGTCTTTGGCATCATGTCCAAACGCAAGAACTTGGCGTTGATGGACTCCGGAAAACCCAAGAAGGCCAAGGAGGAACATCGGGCACTGGTCAAGGCCGAAAATATGGAGTTGGAGCATATCAAACTGTTCAACAGCTGGCTGTGTCTTGCCTGGCTTGTTGTTCGCGAGGGTGTGAACCAAGTCATGGCTGATCTAATTGCTTGGTCCCTGAAGCCACGCCCTGAATGGCGCGTGGCCTGAGACGGGGTTCTACGGAGAGCAGTTTGGCAAGAAGACCTTTAGGGGTCAACAGGCTGGTAAGGAACTAGCAGGTGGTTTCAGGTGACTTGAGTGCACTGATGAGTTTTCAGCGCCTGTATGTTGTAGGGCCAAAACTGTGTCATTATTTTCTTGACAGCGCCTATCAAAACGATTTGCAAGGTTGTGCTACCTGGCCTTCAAACCAGACCTGAAGGCGAGGAAGGAGTGCCACCTGTTCCCCCAGAACTACTTGTGCCGAAAAATGTGTGACCGTTGCGGGGCAGTTCGCGCAGCAGAGGGTGGAGCGCTCTCCTTCAAGAATACTAGCCAGCGCGCGGACTATGCTGCTACGTGCGTAAGTCATGCTGACTATCTTCGCACAACGCGGAGGGTGAGCCCTTGGTCAGCCATTGGTGGCTGGCAAATAGAGAACACGATGTATGATTGGAGCTATCTCGGCACAGCTGCATCTCACGTGGCTTCGAGTTTGAAACTTGTGAGGGCCCTTGGTTACTTCTATGAGAGAGATGAAAGTGAAGACCTTTTCCTCAAACGGATCAGCTTGGAGATGAAGCGTACCTGCAAACAACATGGGCGCCTAACCTGATTGTGAGAAACTGCTGTTCTAGAACCATAGGATTTCTAACCATCCGATGTGAACTTCTATAGTTTCCTTTGCAAGGCTTTACCTACCTCGACGGATCCTCACTGTGAAGCGGCTGTCAAGTTTTGGCAACGAGGACTACGCAGAGCTCAATTCCAAGTTCAAAGCTGCTCATGTGAAGGTGATCTGTTGGTGGTTAGGATTGAAATTGTCAGAACTGTGCCAGCAATCCGAGCTTTGGTGTATAGTTATGACTTTTACTGGCTGTTGGTTGGTGTAAACTATGTAGCTGCTTTGTGGAGGACAGGTAAACAAGTTCCAATGTCTTCATCGTCCAAGGACAATGAAATCCTTCAAGTTCTGGCCACTTGTGCCTGGGCACTTGCCAGGGCAATCGAGCTCATGGACTGTTGCGGCTTACTCTTGTCCAACGCAGAAGCGTCTGAAACTTGGGCGCGTGTAAATGGTTGGCTTGTGTGTTTGTGTGCTCGGCCCTCCCCACCTCTCGAAAACCAACTTGAGCCCTTAAGGAAATGTCGGAGATGCTTTTTATGCATCTATGCTGCACTGAGCACCTAGCTGCCCATTGCTGGCAGAATGAGTGCATGGCTTTTAAAATGCGGCCGAAACATCACTACATCTGGCACTTGGCGGCCGACGTTTCACTGAACCACCTAAACCCAAAAGCTTTTCATAATTTCGGGGAGGAATCTTTTCTCGGTGCCATTAAGCGCATCGTGACTCACTGTCATGGGAAGTCAGTCCAAAGAAGATGTTTAGAGCGATACTTGATCGCTTTAGCTTCTTTCCTGAAAGAAGGCAAGTGGCAAGGCTCATAGGGCTTCAGCCAAGGAAAACCTTGGGGGGAGAGCCTGCGACCGAGATGCTGTCAAAACAGTGGGCCTTTATCTCCAGGCCGCCCATGGCAACAAGCGAGGTGGTTCGCTCGAAGTCGTGTCTCGCCCATAAAGCCCTTCTAGCTGAGCTGTGAACATTCAAGTTGCCAACCCACTGTTTCCTTGCGGGTATTTTTGTGGGTGTTGGAGCACTAAGAACCCGTGATCTCTGCGCTACGCAAACCTACTTGAACACGTTGCGTTCAGTCAACGCCTCCGAGAAGAAGCCTCGCCACAAAAAATAGTGCTTAGCTGATATACTGTGATATACTTATGCTATATATATATATATTTGTATTGCCTGCTTAATTGGCTAGAACGGTCCCGTTTTTCAGCCAACGACTCTTCGTGCGTAGACGGCTTCGTGGGTTGGAGAACGGTGTCGTGTTTACGAACGGCTTCGTTTCAAGAACAATCTGTTCCAGTGAATGCAGAAAGAAATGCACTATAAGTTTTCGCTTTCTTTTCCCCGCTTCAAAAAATACAACTCTTTTTCGTGTCACGGGTCCGTTTGTATGAAAACGGTGCCACGACTCCTGAACGGTTCCGTTTTTTATGCACGATCACACAAGTGCATGTGCACACACCCAAAAAAGAAACAACCACCAAAACAATACCGACGCACATATGTTTGGGACTACATAGCTGCCGTTTTGGCTCAAGAATGTGCAGACCGCAACAGCTATAGTCAGCTCTCTGACTTCTTTGATCTAGCAGAGGCTCAAATTAAATGCTCAAATTGCTGTGGTGGAACTTTTGGCTCATTATAGATTCCACGTGTGGGCGTTAACGGCGAGTGGATATTAACCGAGGGTCCGTGAAAGATCCTCAGCTATCCTGTTGTTCAAAAGCATTGAGCAAAGCAAGGCGCTTATTTCGCCGCTCATGGGCTTATATTGAGCGCATGTTATTTTGCAAACGAGACCGGTGCATGCAAACGACAACGGCTATTGCAGTTTGTGTCTGAACGGTGTCCCATGGACAACGTTCGATCCTCTGGGTAGTCAGCTCGTTCGAGACTAGAGTGCAGCTCAAAAACGGGTGTGGTTAGGGGCCTGGGCTCTGAGGAATGAATCCCGAGTCATGTTTGTGTGTTCAACCTTTTGTTCAATAGTAGGGCTCGTGAAGAGCGTTCTCCGCGAAGGAGATCTTTCCTACGGTTGAGCTTTTGTGTTGGTCACATCCCCCTTTCCTGCCTGATTTGACTGTTCGAACCAGGGAGCTACGCCCCCATGCCTGTAGTCTCCCGAAGGAAAAAGTGTGCGCGCGGCTTTTTCCTGAATTGTTCAATCACACGAAAGCTGAACAAGCGACCGACAGTAGCGGCGGTGTCTAGAGAGTGAAGCAGATTATTTTGAAAATTGACAGTGGCTTTGGGAGGAGAAGGCTGAGAAGGTTCTCCAGCCAGCAGCTTTGGTGGCCCAGCTCGAAATTTCAGGAACAAGAAGTTGTCTTCCTCTTGAAGGTTGTGAAGCATGCGCATGTGGGAATTGTTTGCCAGTTTGCAGTCCTAGGATTCACAGACATGTCACATGTCATTCTTGGACTAAGGTACTTGAGAGCTCTTGAGGATGTAATCTTGTCTGGGGGACCCGGACAGGCGGAGCAGCCAAAATCGAACAAGAAGGATTCGCTCCAATGGTTGCATTCAAGGAACCAGCAAATCTTGTAGCGTGCCAATTGTGACTTTCGACAAGTATAGGCCATGAATTCATGTGCTCTTTAGGGGTCTTATCAGTTCGATTGGCCTTTCGGAAGGCCCGGCTACTCCAAGGTTTCGGGGTATTCTGCTGTAGTAACTTTGCTCGCTTCTTGCGACTTGCCGGGTTGGGCATTTTCTCGAAAGCTGCACTCCAGCTACATAATATTCCTGAATTTGTTCCGTAGAATTTGACAAGGCCCTAGACCTGTGTGATATGTTTGGAAGAAGGCCCCAAGCATCCAAGCAGATTGACACTTTCATCACTTTCACCAGTTGCACTTTCGGTCCACCATGTCCCCCCTGGCGGGACTTGCTGGAAGTGGTGCCTTTCACCACACCCCTTGGATTTCTTTACGTGGAAATCTGCGGTTTCAGCTTGGCGATGCCACTGGTACCAGATAGGTGTGCACCGGAGTCAGTTGGCCCTGTGAGACCCGCTGGTTGAAACTCAGCTCCAGGGTTCCGGGTTGGCTGACGCGTCCGGTTTGTAGAAATGGCCAGGCCACAAAATGGCCGAAAAAAATTAATGTATATATTGACAGCAAGGGGCACAGAGCCTGGTGAGTGTGGACATAATATCAAGTATCTTGACCAGGCTCAGGGACTGGCCTGTTCTTGATGTCAGCTTCGCAGCTGGGCTAGCATAGGACTAGCAACGTATCATGTGCTCGCGCCAGGGAGTTTCGTGCCAAGGTCAGAAAGGAATATGGTCATTCTGAGTCATTCTTTTGTAGCACAGGCCCCAAGGCTGTAGCCATAAACTTCGAATTGAATCCCGGCGAGACTGGGGCAAGTGCTGCGCCCTGCTTGGGGGAGCAAATGGATGACACGGGGCCGGTCTTGACAGGGTCGAATGCCCGAACAAATGGTTTCAGTCAAAATTGTTTGTTGTGAAGCTGCGCGTCATCCCTTTGCCAATCTTTGCCCCATGGTAGATGGACACAAAGATTTAAAGTAGGATTCGCCTTCTCACGCTCCAGTCGAACACATTGTGGAGACTGCAGCGTGGGAAGATGTGCTGCCACAACAGCATGGAACAAAAGGCAGTCAGGTTGGCCTGTGCCAGAGATGTAGTCTTTCTCATACTTATATGCGACGCTTTCTCTTGGTAGAGTTTGGCAAACTTCGTTTTTTTTTGGGTGTTCTCCTGACGGTGTGCTCTGCAGGTTGCTTCCTGTGGCTAGAGTGTTTCGGCAGCGAAGTGAGGGTGCCCATGCGAGAAATTGATCCGTGGGCAGCTTGTTCTCGTGAACACTCAGCTCTTGTGTATGAGCCATGCCGACTCAAGCACCAGATGGTAGTTGATTGCAAGCCTGCAGTGAGTTTGGCAAGATCTCTGTTGAAATGACCGACCATCAAGCGAAAGCTGCCAATTGGTGTATTCACTTGCACTTCTTCCGACCGAACTGTACATAGTAGATAGACGGCTTCCATCGTGTTGCCCAGCAGTCCAGATGGCACAGCATGGGCCAAGCCAGTTGCAGTGAGGTTTTCAAAGCAGAAGCCAGAGTGCCCACCAACCCGATCAAAGAGGCAGTTCCAGCCCTGCAATCAGAACTCAAGGGGGATCCCATTCAATCGGATGAGTGCAACTTGACTGTTTTCGACAGGCACAGTATATACTGTAGTTTTTTCCTTCGCGGAGGTTTTCGCACCAAGAATCCCAATGTGTCAGCATCAGAACCGTTTGAGAGTGCTTTCCACTTACCAAGAGGCCAGATGCTTGTTTGGAGTTGCCAGACTAGGTTTTTAATCTTAAACTTGCAGCCGAGGCAAGGTGGCACCCTCGGTGGCAGAGATCCAGCGTTTGCGGGATGAACTGCAAGCGAAGGAGCGGGCCCTGCAGCTCTTGCGGAAAGACGCCATAGATCAGCAATACCTGCTCCAGCTTTTGGAACGTGACTTGACTTCAACATTGTTTTCTCAAGCACTCTGTTAGCCACAACTTCGACCTTGTCCAACAATCTGACCTCACACAACACAGCTGAGCCCCGTAAATTGAACGGTTCATGCGTTGTGCGGGGCTTGTATTCACAGGAGGCCAATCCCTGTTTCCTGCCCTAGCCCCTCGCCCGCGCTTTTCCTTTGTGTTTTTTTCCTTTGTTTCAAGTGACGTACTGACCCCCATAGCACAAACACAACTGAATGTGACACACTGTGCGGCCACACAACTCCGATTAATTTACCAAAGTCATCCCTTCCAGGCAGCTAAGGTGAGACCTTCCTGAAAGCGGAAGCCTTGCGCGAGCTCCGTGCCGTTGAAGCGTTGAGTGCAGAGATCACTCAGCGGCAGAAAGGCATTCAAAGCTTGAAGGAAGATGCCAAAGGCCAAGAAGAATCGCTGAACCTTTATATATATTTTGGCAATGCAGTTTTGACATTTCTTTGTTTGTTTTCGGTGCGCAGGTTTGTAGCTTCAGTGGGCTGGAGGTCAGCCTTTTGATCAGTAAAGGTCAGAAGCTGCTTGACTCTTTCTGTGCAGTTGTCAATGCCTGTTGGACCGTTTTCGACTGCCTGCAAAGATGCAGTGGATCATGGTAAGAAGGGAACCTTTTGCTACTGTTGCTGCTCTTCCCCCGGCTCTTGCTCATCTGGTAGGGGAATTGGTGTTGACTGTTCTGTTCAACACCCTCGGGAAACTCTTGTTTCACGCCCCCCTTGAGACTCATGGCCGGTACGAACAAACACTTCACCAAATGTCTGTTCGCCTTGTTGATCCTCCACCGACTTATCTGTCTCACTTAGCTCTGCCCGACGGTTCTCCAGTAGAGGGTTTTTAAGTAGGCGTGCAGCAAAAACAGAAGTCCCGCTGAACACAACCAGGACAGAGCTACGCACCGAGGCTGTAGCAAAGGGTGAGATTGTGCAAGATATTCTTGATGGTTTGGCACGTGCTGGCGGCGCAAGCGAGTCTGAGGCTTTTGAGTCACAAGCCAGCCCCACTGGAAGTTCCGCTGCTGTTGCGTTTGCCGCGCAGGCTGCCATCATGCAAGATTCCGACGCTCCAGTACCCTCCAGCGGTGGCACGCGGAGTTCAGTAACTGAAGTGCCGGACCGGCATTTAAGCCAAGATTGTGATGCTTCCAATGGCAGATTTCTGGAGACTCCTGTAGATCAATCCAGCGGTGATTTTGTGCTGACCACAGGCAGCAAAGACGGCTCCGATAAAGTACCGGAGCCACAAGGTAATGACACTTGCCTTTCTTCTGCCATGCCTGTCAGCAGGGAAGGGACCTTGAATGACAATGAACACCACCTGCAAGGAGTTGAATTTGGTGACGCTTTCCTGATACCAGCAGCCAGCAGCAATGAAGCCTCCACTGACAAAGGGCCGGAGCAGCAAGAAAGTCAGGGTCCGGGTAGTGCTTCCGTGATGTTGGCCTGCGGCAAGGGCTTGGATGACGGACAGCCAGCAGACTCAGCAGACAGTGGCAAGAAAGACTGGGATGGCAATGCCAAGGAAGCGCAAGCACCCGAACCAGGATACGCTCCGTCAATGTCAGACAGCAGAACGAACCGCTTGGATGACAATGGCCAAGGGCCCTTGGCGCAAGCAAATGAATCAGGAGGTGCTTCCCTGATGCCTGCTAGCATGGCGGAAGGTTCGAAGGACAAAGTGACGATCCCATTTTTACAAGGTGACCATGGCAGCAGCTCCCAGAGCGCAAGTGTCCAAGACATGCGCCCAGCAGATTCCAGCCCAAAGGGAAACACGGTTCCACAACCCTGGCCAGCACCCCCACCTAGGACTTGAGGTCCGCCTTTCAAAACGGCCAAAACGGCCCACATGAGCCTTGGGCATTTTCAGACTGGGACTGACATTCGGCAACTCTGTTTCACAAGCTGACCGGCACTCGGTGGTCAGAAAAGCCTTTTGCTTGCTGCGAGTTGTTTGAGAAAAACTAATCCGTGAAGCTCCACAAGGTGTTTCCCTTTTGCATTTCAAAGCCCGGGGTTCGGGGTTGTATACTTATGTCGGTTTTAGGGAGTGCCGGGAGCACTTTATATATGGAAGATGACGGCAATCGTGATATATATATATATATATACTTGAGAGTTTGTCCACAAAAAGCACGTCATGGACCGTCTCGGGGTCAGCCTTTTGCTGTCAGGTCGGGATTCGGAGATCCTGGAGATTTGCGAATTTGTGAGAAGGAGCATTGGCCTGTAGTTTTTCAGCGCTGGACGTCAGAAGAGTCATGAAGATGCGCATGTTCTTAGCTACTTGACTTACACCATGTCAGACAGGTAGTTAGACTAGAGAAGTAGAGAAGCTTTTGAAACTGCAAGCTCAGGTTTCAGGTTGCCTTCGCGTAAGGCTTTCGCCACCGCCTCTATTTTGTCATACAAAACACACATATAAATATAACTATATAACTCAATAAAGTACACTAGGTGACTAATACTAAGTGGTCCTACATGCAAATGCATTCCATTCAGGCTTTACTAGGCAACACTTTGTGGAAGTTGGCTATGGCAAAGTGGTGGGATTTGGACCAAGAGCTCCTTGGAGGGACTGCAGCATTCCGAACTCTTTTGGACATCAAGGACGTTCAAGAATCTATATGCCTGCACTTGAGTTCAAGCTGTTTGCCTGGTCTTCCAGCGTGATTTTGTGAAGACCTGAATCCCAAGGTTCAATTATGTAGAAAGCTTGGCTCCGCTCTCAGTTGGTTTTTTGCTTGGGAGTCTGAAGAATGCGGCACCTTTGTAGGGCACTGGTGGATGCGCATGCAACTAGAGTAACTAGAGGCCGCAGATCGCATTTGGACAAAATTCGTCCCTGAGTCATTTGAATCACCGAGGCTTTAGTTACCATCGTGTTCCTTGAGCTACTGCTTCTCGGCAGTGCTGGAGTGTTCAAGTTTGCAAGACTTTTGTAACTTTAAACTTTAAACTTTAGCATACTATTTCCCAAACAGTGTGGTCACAGTCAAGCGCCGGGCTTGATCGAGGGTGCTCACCGGCAACTGTGGCTATTTCGCTGCCAGTCAATTACAGCACAGTCATGCCTCGAGATGCCGCTTTTGAAGGCAGTCTCGCACGAAAAGCCCGGGTCTGGTTCTTGACTTCGCTCTCGTTGTGGTTCCATCCGCATTTTCGGACTTGGTCACTTCTCGTGGCAGGCGCAGGAGAATCCTCGTGTTTTGGTGGTCTTAAATTTGCCTTTCGCGGCAGGTGCGGGCGACCGGAACTGTTGTACTTCGATGTGCAGATTTCGGTGGTGGTCTTTGGTGTGCTCTGATTTTGTGACAGGTGCTGTGAATCGTGAGCTTCGGACATCCGCTTGCTGCTTGCTCTTGTGCGTGTGCTCCATTTTCTGTGCTCTGTGTGCTCTCACCTGTGTGCCTTCATTAGTGCGTTGTCATATGAATGCTTTCATGTTTGTGCTTTAGCGTGGGGGGGGTTCGCTTGTTCATCCTTGTTTTGTTCTACTTAGTACTTAGGGCTGTTCGGGGCGTTTTTCCGGGATGACAATCTAGGGAGGTCTGACCTTCGCGCTCATTGCTCAGAAACTGTATGAGGTTTGATGGTGCTTGGCATGTCCTGTCCAGACCAGCGCCCTGGACGACAATGGTAATGAGACGAGATGTAATGCTGGTGGGCCAAATTTGACAAAAGTACTTGCAAGGTTGCATTGGAAGGCTGAAACAAGGCCGACAAGCTGCGGTGACGGCATTGTTTTGTTTGCCTTGGATAATGCCCTAGAAGGCTGGAGAAAGCGGTATGGTATGTCACTTAAGCGCACGGGACAGCTCTACAAACACGGCACGGAGAAGGGGGAAACAGGAGCAACTTTGTAGCCACGTAGCCTTCTTGATGGGGGTTGTTCGCGCTACCAGAGATAACGACAACCTACCACTTCAACCCATGCCCCAAGCAAACTGGATTCTGAATGTCGAGCAAAGAGGCCAAGGCAGGTTGTAAGCGAACCCTATCAGCCCTATCATCAACAGACCTGTTATGTGCAGCGCATAGTTGCGGAATAGCCCTCGCAGCCTTGCTTGGTTTGAATAACACTTTCGGATACTTGTGATTCATTCGGGAATAACATGCGACTAACCTTGGACAATCGGGTGTTGGCATGCAATCATTCAGTAACAGTAACACTTTCTTTAGTGACTACCCTGCTCAAACCGAACATTTTCAAAGGCTGCGTGCCAAACGACATGTGCTCCAAACAAAGGCCTCCAAGTCTTACTACTACGGGCGTTTGCATGAAGACGCCTTTGACAAAGCTGAGCTGCTTGTCCAGGTTTTCTGTTTGCTCTCTTTGTTTAGATTCATTTATGAACTTGAGTCAGCGGATTGACTGGGATTCAGATTGTGCCAAAGAAGTTCTATTCTGCATCGCCCAGAGTCCTGTAGCTGAATCAATACGAATCTGTGACTAGATCATTGGCATTGGCTTAACACAGCGCAACTTGAGAAGTGCATTTCGAATGCCACAGCTGTGTGTGGCCCGATGAGAGTCGCGTGCCAGGGAAATGCACATGTGAGAAAAGAGACCTGGTGCATCCTGGTGCCAGAATCAGTCCTTTATTTATCCAAAAGCTTTAGTTTATGACACATTGCCTCCACAATCCCCCCCTGCTTGCCAGAAGTGCGCCAAGAAAGTACAGTCCGTGCGCAAGGTCCGGGGTGGTGGTTCAGACAGTCTCGCACGCCCAGCTATACAAGGACCATGAGATTTGTTCAATCCGAAAGCCAACTTAAATCTTTATACCTAAGAACAAACTCGAGCCAGCCAGGCACGAAGGTTAACCTCGAGTTTGTGGTGAGAAATTGTTCGCTTTTTGGAGTTCATTTTTGATTGGTTGAACCCTTTGTGGACCTGGGTGCACGTTGAAGGTTTCTTATGGTTTCTTGTGTGTGGGACCTTGGGGCATTTTTTGTTCAACACATGTCACCACCTTCAGTCACAGCAGTGTACCCGTTCAGGTCGTTGGGGTGTGCTGCACACTGCCGTGGTGATTCTTGTGGTTACTGTTTGCTCGCTCGCCTCCCTAAATGTGGAGTGTTCAGATTGGTCTCCATACAAGGAGTCCATAGATATATGATATATGATTTATATATATATATATAAATATATTTTTTGTTGGTCCGGCTCTTTTCCGCAGTGGAAGTTTGAAAGTTCGAAAGCTGGTCTCATGCCAGCCATGATCGGATGTCAACTGAACGTGGCTTCGAACACGGTCCGCGAAGTTTGGTCGTGAGCGTGATCTGGCCGTTGTTGAACCTGGTTCGAAGGTGGCACTTCTGGCACTCCAGGAGGTTGCCCATTCTTGTCATCTCATGAGTCGGATGACCCTGCCAAAGAGAGGGATCGAGAGGTCCGTGGTGGCAGACTTCACCCAGGAACCGATGGAAGATCTCCTCTCCAGCTTTTGCCAGCACGTAATTGTTGCAGAGGGTGCAACGGAGGTATGCCTTATCAAGCTTGAGGTGGTGGCTACCTGGCTGGACTTCTCCCTGAGCTTCCAGGAGATCATGTATGACCTCGAACCTGGTCTTCTTCGAGGAACCCCCGGGCACTGCATGAGTGCATGTGCTGCTCAGCCCGTCCTTGATCTCCTTGATCATGGATTTGGAGTGGTAGCGCTGTTTGCAGTGACTGCATTGGACTCCGGAGCGGAAGGACGCCCACTGGCATCTGGCTGTGCCAGGAATTGCTCGAGCAGACCCTTCGTCTGCTGGAGAAGAGGCACCTTGTTCTTCTCTTCCTGGATCTCCTTCTTGTGAAGGAAATGGGCCTTGTCTTTGAGCAGAAGCTCCATGGGTTTGGCTGCAACATGCAAGACATCTCTAGTGTCTTCGTCGATGTGGCGTTGAAGGTCCACGATTTCTTCAGGTCTGGCAATGAGTGCTGCCTGAGTGGCTTTGGCCTGAGTGTCCTGCTGGAAGGCCTTGCGATTGAGGTTGGAATCCATCTCCTTGGTCTGGAAGAGCAGGAGTTTGATCTGAGCAAAGTCCTCTTGCTCCAAGTGTTGGCTGAGATCTGGGAATTGTTCATAGGCTGCCCACGGATTCCATGCGTGCCAGATGGCCTGATTGTGGACTTTGTCCCGGAGGTGGAGGGACATGTGCTTGAGGCTCAGGCAAATCTTTTATGCCTGGGGTCTCGGCAGGTGGGAGCTATGGCCAAAGAGACGGCATGGCCTGCCGGCAGAGCGCAAGCTTCCAATGACTCCCAGAGTCCTTCACCATTGAAAGTAGCCATGCTCCTGGATGTAGAAGATGGATTGGGTCATGCCTCTGTTCCACAGCTCTGGCTCAGTCCCTGCATTGAGACGCTCGATCCATTGTGTTGGAAGTGAGGGAACCTTGCCCTCCCAGAAGGTGCACTCCCAAAGAAGATGGATGAAGGTGAGGTCAACATCACATAGTGGGCATTTGCCTTCTTGGCCATGGAAGGTACCTTGATGGAAAGCTCGGAGAGCAGTGTTGATGCGCTCAGTGGAGATCTTCTGAAGCGTGTTGCCGACTGTCCAATCCAATGGCCTTTCCAGGTCGTGGCAACCATGGTGGCGTGTCAATCTGAGGAGACGTTGCCAGCGGAATTCTTCCATGAGCTTCTGTTAAATTTCCGGCCATCCCGCTGTGAGGCTGAGGTGACAGTCAGGGATACCTCCATAGCCCGTTCGTTTCCACAGCTTGCCATTGGAGATGTCAAAGAGGTAGGCCTGGAGGGGGGCCTGCAGAGGGCCTGTCACCACCTGCCATCGATATTTGGCTTTGAGCAGAGCAGGTGTTGAGCTTTCGTCAAAGGCGTGGAACACCTTCCAGACTGTGTGGATGTGCTGGAGGATGATGGAATCTCGAGTCTGGCTTGTTGGGATGCATGTCGAAGATGACATCAACTGAGCCGGAGTGCTGAAGGCGCAGACCCCTGGCCGCCATCACTCTGATTTGCTGCCTTCGTTGAGGAGCTGGCCTGCGCTCCCCAGGTCGTGACCGGATGTTTGGCGCCTCGATGCAACCTGTATTTGGTGCTTGGGTTCAACTTGAGGCGCATTATGATTCCTGCTCTGCCTCTTCCCTTGAGGTGCATCGATGCCCAAGTCACGGAGGACATTGTGATGCTGAGGGTCTCCTGCTGTCCAAAGCCTTTGCTGCTTCCTTGCTGCTGGTGATGAAGCCAGTCTTGTCGGAGTTGATCTTGAGGCCAGATGCTTCGAGGTGCCTTTTGAGCGTACGGAAGGCCAAGACAGCTTCTCGCGCCACATAGTCAGTGTCTCTTCCTTTCATGTTGAAAGAGACATCGTCCACCCAAGTTTGCAACTGGACTGCAGGATGTTCTTGCACCAAGGCTCGAAGACCTGAAGAGGACCAGTTTGGCCACTGCGGGTGCCTAGGGCACCCTTGGAGAATGCCCTTCTCATACTCCTCATAGTACTTGGGGTTGCCTGCACTGCCCTCTGCTTGGATCAGTCTGGGACCAGTGTAGAGGCCCAGGGCCAGCTTCAAGTGCAGCGGCGGATAGTGCAGCTCAACTGCAGGCTCAATGAGATGGTCCAGTTGGACGGTGTCGTAGGAGCAAGTGAGATCTGCCAGGCAGGACACAGTGTGAATGCCCTGATGCTTGCCAATCTCTGCCTTGAGCATTCGTCCAACCGCTATGGAGAGACAGTCTTTGTGTGGCCTCGCATGATCCCAAGGCATGTTCTGATCGAGACTGAGTTGCCACCTGTGGAGTTCGTGCTTCCTGTAGGAGTTCCAGAGGCGGTAGACGCAGGAGGTGAGTGCAATGGGCCTCTCAATGCGCTCATTCTTGGGGATCATGACAATGTTCGTGTGTCGTATTTGAGTAGGGAGCTCTCCAGTTCTCTCCATCTCAGTGAGGAGCGCCGCAAGGCGGGAGACCGCAGGGTAGGGCAGGCGACGAAGGAAGTCATAGGCGATCCCGTCCGGCCCCGCTGCTTTGTTGGGGAGCTTCCTCATCAGTTTACCAAGCAAGGCAGTGTGGGCCGCTGCTGCCTGTGCTAATCTTCGAAATTCCTGCAGACCCCTTGGTGTGACATGGTTCTTGCACTGGGCATCATATTTGCCCCCGTTGTTGTTCCCGAGCTTGTATCCTCTGGGTGTGAGGAATGTCCTGGAAGGGTCTTTGCCAGCAATGATCCTTTTGCCGGAGACTGCGGAAAAGACCACGTAGACCTTTGTCATGAGCCTTCTCCAGCCATTCTCTGAACTCATGGTTGGTGGAGCTGAGGAGTTGCTGCTGTGCCAGTTGTTGCTCTTGATGGACGATCTGTTGAAGGTCTGCATGGTCTGAGGCAGCTCCAAAGGTCCATTGAGTGATCTGCTCTGCAAAGTGCCGCTGATCCAGTTCTTTGGAGGCATGTTGAGGTAGGCGTTCGAGCATCTGACGGAGGTCGCGCAGCACTCCAGGATGCCTCTTGTGCTGGGCTACGTCGATTCTGAACCCCATCTTTCCCCAGAAGGCTGCGCTTCCTTTCTTCCAAACTTGAGGCTTGGAGGCATTGATCAAAGGAGCTTGGTAGAGCATGATTTTGGATCCTCTGCCAGTGATCGGTTACTGCAAGGTCTGAGAGAGGTACTTCTCGGTCTGGGTGGCCCATCTGGCTAGATCCTATCCCAGGCCTGTGATGGCCTGACCCATGATTTCAAAAGGCCCATCATCCTCGTGGAAGGAAGTCCAAGTGTTTGGTAGCTGGTAGACCCTTGCTATTGGTGGAAACCGTTGGAGCTGTTGCGCACACGTCCATGACCTGGGGCACAGCTAACTCAGGCTCAAGTTTGAGCCATCCTTTTCCCACTTTGGGCCATGGACCTTGCCGACGACCTACGGGCTCTCTCAAAGTCCTTGGCGGGGCAATGTTGCACAGAACTTTGGTGACATCCGATCAGGCGGACACTGAGGCACCGAGCTCCTCTACATCAGAGCAGCTCCCCCGGGAGCCTGCTGTTTTCGGGACCTCAGCTGTTCAAGCCTTGACACAGATGCTCAATCTAGAAGATGAAGAGGACATGAACATGTCCTTTGAACAGCAGACACTCTTCGACCTCTGTCTACAAGACCTGACCAACTCGAGTCAGGCCTATGGCAGACAACGCAATCTACGCAATGGGCAACAGTTGCTCATGGATCTCAAGCGCATGCAGAATCTGGCCCACAAACACCTCAGTGTACCAGGAGAAGCCGAACACTCAGTAGCCAACATCTTTGTGATCTCTCAATGTCTCACCAGCATCCTCAAGGACTTCAAGAACCTCTCTTTCGGCAATGCTCCATGGAGATGCTGGTGCTGGGCAGGGGCTTTTGCAGAAGAAGCCGCACAAGCTTGGGGGAGAACTCACCAAGCGGTTAGACAATACCTTCCAGACAGTGAACCACAAATCCTCGCGGGCTTGCGCGACATGCAGCATGTCTGTCCTCACTTCGAGGATGAAGCTCAGGCTGACGCAGCGGATTTCCTGCACTCTCTTTGGACCTTTGCTGCAGGAACCTTCTTTGAAGGCCGGTTCTTGCACCGGAGCGTGAAGGGCCATCTGGAGGAAAGGGAGCAGTTTCCCCTCAACTTAATCTTTCCTGACGCAGCCCACAGCAGATGTTGATTCCCTCATCAATGATTGGGCTGATGAAGGGCGCGGGTAATATCTCTACGGGCCCCTGGTGGACTGGTGCTCAACCTTCAAAGATTGACCATGCAGAATGG